TCGACCGAAATATCTTCGTTATTCTCTAAATTTCTATTCTAGGGAAAACGAAATTATTCCGATCGGAATCGATTTCGAAAAGTTCCATAATACGTGCCTAGAGAATGAATCTATGGACTCGGTATATTCAGTTTTCCAGATAAATATGTATCGGAAGCTTATAAGTGACATATACGTCAACATCATTCTAGAGTCTAGAAATAATAATTTGATCTACGTTATTTCATTTTTTACTAGTTTGATACAGAATATCGGAACTAGCCAGTAAGCAAATTGAGCGCAGACTGCGCGCAGATTGGCAGCAAATTTAATCAAAAACCCACAGCAAAACCATAGCCATCTGTGTCTACATTAAGCTACGATTTTGGCAACAGATCTTGCTGTCGGGCAATTGGTGCCAAATTTGCAGCAAAAACCGCGCAAAGCTTGCAGCGCAGCAAGATCTGCGCGATTTCTGTCGCCAATCTGCCGTCAAATCGCTACAAGCTCTGCGCAGTTTTTGCTGCAAATCTGCAGCAATTATCCGACAACAAGTTCTGCCGCATATCTGGCGGCAATTTGGCAGCAAGATTTGATATAACAGATCCTGCATCAAATTTGTTATCTATTTGCCATCAAAAGTTCATAGCAAGCTCTGCTCGAAATCTGTTCGCGCAGGTTTGGCTATCTGGGTACATGAAGGAAAAAGAGTATCTAAATCTTTATTGAAAATATTATTAAAATACAGACTAAATATTTTACACAATATTTATAGTAAACGAAAAATAAATATTTGTAGTAATATTTTGTAAATATATCTATTTAAATATTATATATATAAAAAAAATAAATGTAATTATTTAAAATTATTAAATTAGTGAAAAAATAAGAAATTCGAATCTCAGCAATGGTAACCCTTATACCCAGTAAGCAATCTGCGCGCAGACTGACGTCAGACTGTCGACAGGATCTGTCGAATCCGAGCAGGATCTGTCGACAGATCCATAGACATCTGCGTCCCCAATCTGCCGCCAGACTGTTGACAGGGTCTGCGAACAGACTCTGACGACAGACTGGCGGCAGATTGCGCGCAGAGCCTGTCGACAGATTCTGACGGCAGACTGGCGGCAGATTGCGCGCAGAGCCTGTCGACAGACTCTGACAGCAGATTGGCGGCAGATTGCGCGCAGAGTCTATTGTTTTGTAGGTTCTTTAATTAAATGTATGTAGCATATGTACGCCTTTAAATGGCTATTTAAACTAGCCATTTAACCCTTGTACTGAAAGAGGAGGTCGAAAAATGTAAAGTTGCTATTTATTATTTAGATAACTCGATTTTTTTAATTACTTTATTATTTACTCGATTTAATTACTTTATTATTATAACTCGATATGTGTTTAAGCAATAAACAATAGTAATATTATCTTATATTAGTAATACTTAATATTTCTGAAAAGTATATATTTAAACCTTTAAAATTCTTTTCGATACGTTTCGCTATCGTCATTTTTACCCTGAGTTACAGCTTATTTGTAATCTTTTGCATAAAGCTCATGGTACTTTTGAACAGAAATGGTTTTCTGTTAGAGATCTGTTGAATTTTTAGATACGAGATGTACACAATTTATATGCAAAAGTGTCAATATCATTGTATTGTATAAACTTGTTCGAAATAAGTGTCGCAATTTTTACGCAGACTAGTCCGATTCGTACACGTAGACAGTGCGAGACAATTATGAGATTAAAGTGCATTCGCTAACAGGACGAAGCGTGCGCAGTACCCCGTTGCAATTCAAACTACGTTTGCGAAATTTCGCTACAACTAATAAATAGAAACGCGTTCGGTCGCGGTTTTCCTAAACTTCGCTCTTGGTTACGAAGTGCTACAAAGACAAACATATAAACAAAATAATATTTTAAAGATGTGCAATTACAAGTTTATAAAATAAAAACAAATAAGATTTAATGCCTCGTTAATAGGACGAGAACAATGATATTGATAATTATAAAAATATATGAAATTTCTAAAAATATTCTTGGACTATTTGAGAACAAATATTTATATTGCTATACATTTCAGTTCAGTCGCTTGTACACGGAAAACACGAAGATGCGGCGATCTATACAGTTTCGCGATATTTTATAGATAGCGAGAACGATCACAGCTCCTGTATAGGACGGAAAGAGAGAGAATATTCTTGTCCATACGATCTGTACACGGTGACCTGACACGTAACTCCCCGCTCTGCCTCCCGTTATCTTACACCACCGACACACTGAATTGTCCGCATTACCCTCGTAAATGGACCCGCATTTATCGTACAGACGCAGAATCGGATTGATATTGTAAGGGAACACGACACGAACTCGAGCCAGTTGCGTCGGATGTACTTGAGGAATCGCAGCAGACACGGAAACTGATCTGATTGAAGTAGAAATATTTCTTGGAATTATATTTCACATATTATGTTTGTCTTAGTCCATATATGTGTAATATATACAATTTTTAGAAATAAAAATAGTATAAGATTGTAAGAACATGTAAGACATAAGATGAACAAGTAAGATCGTAAGAACATATATTAGATATAAGATGTCTTTAATATATTTTTTACAAGTGTAGCTATCTGGGCTTAAATACATTCAAATTTTTTGGTTGATCGAAAAATTAATACATTTCACGTTTATCTTTATCGACAATAAAACAAAAAAAAAAACAAATATCTCGGTTAAAGTAAAATATGATTCAGTTATATATAAAAAAAACATTTAATAATATATTCTTAATATAATTATGTGGCTTGCATTTCAGTTTGGTAGATAATTTTTCTATTATGAATGCTGCAGGCTACAATATTTAAAAAAAAAAATAATTTGATCCACAAATTTTCTTTACTTATTTTGTAGATATTTTCTGTACTTAATTTTTATTGGAAAAAAAATATTATCGTTATCGTATTTCTTAATGAAGAATTATATTTATATAATGTACTCTTACATGCATTTACATTTCATAATTCATGAGATAACTAAATATCATCCGTTAGAAGGACAAAAAAATAATAGACCGCCAATAAATTCGTGCAATTATTATTAAAATCATTTAAGTACTTGATATACTGTACAAAATTATAGATAAAGGTATGCTGAAGTTTAAATGATCTTAGAAAAAAAAATACATACGCATTTTTTGAAGACATCAAACATTGTTGTATCAAACTTGAAGTTAACCATCTGTTCCAGAATTATTTCTACCAACACGTATTGCTTATCTTCACAACCACTTATATTAAGGTAAAAGAACAATTACTTTTTATACAACGCTCATTAGTAAATTTGTTACGTTTATTATAATTGTTATTTTACTCACTGTTATTGCAGATTTATCATCACATTCTACTTTTAAATCAGCTTCCTGTGCATTGCTTATACGCTCACTAAGAGAATCACATATAGCAGGTTGAGAAACATCTTGCTGAAATTGCAATTAAGGGGATTATCATTGGCGACTTAGCTACAAATGAAAAATATAAGAAAAAGAATGTCATGGCCCTATTATATCGTTATTTATTATAAATAATTACTAGATTAATCGATTAACAGTATAACATTAAAATTTATTGCATAACTAACAAAATTAAAAAACATATTAACTTGTGGTATCTTGTACACATTATGTCTTGCATGCTACAGTTTTATAAAACGTAACTGTTAATCAAAGGAATTTTCGATTCTATCTGCAAATTTTTCTGTTATTAAAACATGTTCTGTTATTATAACATCCCAGTAAGCAAATTGAGCGC